ATATTATTTTTTTAATTTAAGAAATCTCCAGCAGGCAGCTGGCGAAGCTGCAGTGCTGTCCAGTCGGGGATGTACCCTACAGCCTCTGGGGAAGATGCGCTGACAGAAGACGTCTGCACACGCAGCGTGGCGAAGCATGGGTGCAGAGCTGGCTGGCACTCGCTGTGGGACATCAATGTTAACAGCAGACTGGGAGCGAACTGGTTTCCAGTTTGTGGCCACGCGTGTTCCATTCTCCAGGAGCAGCCAGGCCACACGCAGGCAGCCTTCCCCAGCCAGCCTTCCCCAGGGTGCCCTGGGCCCAGGGAGCCACTCTGCTTCCAGGGCTTTAATCTGCTTAAAACATGAAAAGTTTCTCCGAGCAAACCAGCTTCTTCCACAGAATTGCCTGTAGCAAGCATTAAAAAAAAAAAAAATCAGAAAGGTTTTTCGAACAATGAGTGTTTGTTCAGCGCTGAGGACGATATGTACTAGCTCCATCTGGTGACGCTTGCCCTCAGCAGTATTAATGCTGCCTGCCTGCCCCAGCAGCAGAAAATGGAAGCTGCAGTGGGAGAGAGGTGTTTGGGTCATTTGTTGTAACATTTTTACTGATGGAAGCAAACAGATACATGTGTTAATGTGTTTCAGTGAAATTTGTAGAACCTTTGAAAAAGAACAAACACGCTAGGCCTTGGGAATGGGCTATTCTTCCCAGGGGTTTCTAGTAACCCTTAGAACAGAGATTAACCAAGTGTCTTCAGAATTTTCACAGTCATGAAACAATTTAAAAAAAAAAATCTAAATGTGGCTGACAATTTGTATTAACTTTCTCAAGAACATTACTTTGGAAAACTTTCCAAAATTCAGATAACTTTTTTTAGCATAGTTACTTCTTCTAAGACTTCCACACAGGAGCTGATCGTGCACTTTACATGAGATGGATGGTTCCTGGAGGCTAAAAGCAGCGTTAATAAAAGGCACGTAAATGTTAGAAACAAAAAAACTGACTTTGTAGTTCCAGAAGAATGAATGTAATTTATTCTAGGAAAATGTCTGTTGTCCGTAATGCATGGATGTGTTGTGTTTGAATTGTATGTGTAATTAGTTGGATTCTTTGCTTTCTCTGCCATCAAGAGATTTTAAGATACTTGTTTATTGCACCAGCACCCAATTATCTCCCTTTCCTTCCCTTTTTCCTTCACAGTTTTGCTTCAGACACATACAAAAGATGCAGGAGCAACAAAACAAAGACTCTGGTCTTCCTTCTGTTTGTGTTAGTGATATTCAAAGAGGGAGAGTTAGACTGTGCTATACCGTGATCCAAACATCACACACTGGCTTTGGATGTTTTTACACATTAGTAAAGGAAAAATTTGTGAAGTGAAAAAAAAGTCCCTAGGCCAGTATCTGACTGGCAAAGGCACACAACTTTGATCTCATACTACCACAACTCCAAACACTATTATTCTAGTCCGGAGTAGCTTTCATCTGTACTGAAAATAGAGATGGAGCTCCACACGTTTGCCTTCTGTGAGCTGACATAAAGCTCAGCTTTGATGCAAAAATCCAAACTGCCCTATGCAGGTCTTTCTCTCCACTTGACATGCCACAGAAGTAGCTATTTTTGCTTTATTGTTTCCTCAATAAAGTAAGGTCAAGAACATTATGACATTTAGTAAGATGTGACAATAGAAAGGACACTATGCAGGGATTTAATATTCCAGTAACAGCTTCTTGCCAACTGTCCTTGCAGTGCCACAAAGCTTGAGCATGAACTCTTGCTGAGGGCCTTCTTCACACGTGAAAACCTTGCCTGGCATAGAACAGACACAAGCTTGAGCTTCTAGTCTGAAGGCCTGAGGTATCAATAAGGCCAGACTATTATCAAGGAAATCAACTACTAATGTTTTAATGCTTCTCACGGCTTCCGTATAGGTAACTGACTATGTTAACCATGCCGTTATCAAGGAATTAAATATATTTTATGCCTGTCAGCTGAGGATGAGAATAAAGATGTTTTTCAGTCAGCTCTAAGTGTGGCTCTTTACATCACATGTTCCCCTCCAAGGAAGCTTATGTCTTTAATAAGTGTATGTGTATATGACCCCTCTTGTTTTCTAAAGAAAAGAGCCCTTACTGTAGTGTCCCATTTAACATGAACACAGGGAAAAGAACAGAATGTATTTTTCTTATAGTCACATCTTCCAGCAATTGCTGAACTCCACAATTGTCTGCCTTATGGAACTGAGCTGGTGGGGTGGGAGACAGACAATGTCCCTGCTCATGGCAGAAGACATTGCTTATCTTAAAGGAACAACTTTCTCAGGCCATCACCCAGGCTACCAGTTCATTCCCCAAATCTCCCCTGCCTTTCTTCAGTTACCTAGTAAATCACCGTTTCTTCAACAGGAAGCCCGAGAAATCACTGTTCACTCTGAATATAGGATTGTTCGTATTTAGAGTATTTATTGTGGCAAAACAATTCATAGGTTTCCTTTAAAAGATTTTTTTTCCATGTTTAGGAACAAATGGACTCTACGAGAAGAAAGGGAAAACCGTATCTTTTTTTGGAAAGACCACTGAATAAGGGCACATGCAGAGTTCAAACAGTCTTTTAAATAGTTTCCTCTCAAAATGTATCATTAGTTTTGTTCAGCTTCTCTAGTTTGTAAACAACTATGTAATCAATGAAAATATATTTAGCCTACCTTTAAAAAGAGATGTCTCCAATGTTAATTGGTAATAACAGTAAAATCATATGCAAGGCAAAAATATTAGGATCTAGCATGCTTGTCCTTTAACAAGTTCTATTCCAAAATTATATTACATATATTAATTTCAACTTTGTAAATGTTGCATAAACTCAAATGTTTGAGTAGTCAGACAGTGATAAAAATTAAGAAACCAGACAACATTTCTGTACTGTGAATGCTATTAATTTCAAACATTACTTGCTAGTAAAGTGCTGTTACAAGCAAAATTAAATTGTTAGTGTCTATCGAAAGTAATGACATTTTAGTAGTATTCAAATTGTATTTGTTTTGGCAAATAGTTAAAAGCTTAGACATGTTTGTTTAACCACCCAAAACTAATTCAGTATAAATAATATTGGTTTCCAATAATTCTATGCTAAAAGGCACATACTAATGTTCCAGCAGTTCGTTCAAGTGAGCTTTTGCATGTAGAGGTTTAATTGTGCTTTTAAATAGTTACTGATTCAGTATGACCTTGAAAGTGACATTTGTGCATGTCTAAAATACCTTCTGACAAATCAATCTCACACTCTGAAGGTGGAATTTCATTAAGACTATATATATCTATATAACTATGCTTGTTGATCTCTATAGACCTACATAGATATACACATATACATATATTCATACATACACACACAAAAGGGTATCTTCTGGAACAGCAGCAGAAGTGCAGTCTATACTTTTTTGAATTGTCTTCATAATAGAAAGTTCTTGGTACAGTTCTCAGATATGAATTCTCTTGGGACAATCCAAGGGATTATTTGTGATATTGCATGGGTCCCACATTACTCTCTTTCCTTACAGGCTGCTTCAAGCTCACTTCACTTCCAGAAGAGATGATTGGCAAATTATTTTCCATGTGATACTGAATAAGATGACCCACACTATCAAATATATGGTCTTTGGTTCTCACCTAATGAAAGAAGCAGAAGAATGTATTTATGGTTAGACTGTGCTTAGAATTGGTTGGATGAGAGCCTAGTGCATTAAAGTCAAAAGGCATTTAAGTCACTGAGCCCACTGGAACAAGACCATTAGTCCGCAGGCAGTAATTCAGATCTATCCTTTGACGTACCATCAGCTGACATGAAAAGGAGAGAAACAATTTAAAAAGACTATATGTAGAGCCGGACTGATTCTGCTAAGGAGAATGAAATAACTTTTTTTTTTTTCTCCACAGAAGCAAGATATTTTTCCCTAAATCCTATTGAGGATTAATTTTCTGATTTACTCTCTCTTCTGAGAGATGTCACTCAAGAGTGCTCTTCCAGCTCTGAGCAGAAGCAAGCAGAACTGAAGTGACAACAAACCAGTTCTGCCTTTTCTTTATCCAGAATTGTGTTACTGATCAGCTTCATTATGTCACGTTAGGGTTATTTTTCTAGCAATATAATGACCCAAAGTATGTATTAAGTGCATACAGTAATTATCAGCCCCTGGAGTAACAACAATATTTAAGTACCTTGCATCTATTTCCATGTACTTCAGTGCTTATAACTTCTTGAATTGAACTTCCAAGCCTACTGAAGTCACTGGCTAAATTTACATTAACCTGGATGGAATCAAATCATTCCCCCTTCCTAGAATGCACCCATGCATTTTGACTGGAATATCTGAGCAGCCCTGATGTTTCAGTATATGAAATACTTGTACCTTGCCCTCAGGATCCACCAAGAGCAGATGCTTTGCTTGCCCTCCCTGAAGTCCACTGAGAACATACTGACCAGGTGACGTTGTGCTCTCTCGCACCAGAAAATCTCCATCGTTGATTAAGAGGCGCTCTGCTGCTTTCCTGTTTAATTTGCCATGGTAACAATCTTCATTCTTTAGCTGTTGCTTTATTTGTGGCAGAACAGAGAGTCCAGCTGTGCTGCTTGTGGCACTCTGCTATCTAAAATTAAATGAAAGGGAATGTATTGGACACCACCTACAACCACATCCTACAAGGATGCAAGACAATATTTTTTATAGCCTTTAAAAAATTCAAATGGTTCAGTCTTGAAGCTGTGATCAAACCAACCTTACAGAGTGTCATAATACACACACATGAATGCTCACAACCCTCCAGTGCACTTGGTAAAATTATCACACTGCCTCCTACCATACCTTAGATGGCAAAGCCTTGGGTCGCTAGGCAACAGGGACTGGAAACAGGAATTTTTCTGATGCTTTACTGTTTTGGGTTTGTATTTTTTTGGTTGTATTAAAAAGTCAAATCTTCCCTGTAAAGATTTTTGTTAGCTCCCCCCCTGCTTTTTTTTTTTAAAAGATCTAGGTTTTCCTTCTTCCTTAACAAGCTCTGAAGAGATTGTCAGGGCTCACTGGGAGAGTCGTGTTGAGTCGCTCGAGCTATGAAAAAACAAGAGAACACGGCCAACGTAGCCAGAAGGGAAGGATTACAGCATGATGCATCTGCTGTGAAAAAACTGAACAATTACTGAATGTGCTAACAAAACTGGGTGGTTTGGAATAGAGCCAGTCCAACTGCAAATGATTCACAGGCAGGATTTTTCTAAGGAAAATAAGAGGATACCACTTCTTCAATGGAATTGAGCAACCTAAGGCTCCTCAGGATATAGCCAGTTCCTTTCGGAGCATAATACAGCCTCGGGTTGGAAATGTCTCAATGGTCACAGTTTTCCTTCATGGTAGTTCTCTCCAGTCCTTTGCCCACTTTCTTGTGTGGAGCCAGCTCTGACAGAGAAAACACTCAGTAGGAAGCCATAAAAGGCAAAGCTAATAAACAGAGTATTTTTCAATAATGAGGACAATCAGTAGCAACTATAGAGTCACTTAATGGATACCCACCATTTTGAGTCTGTAAATCAAGATAATTTGACATATTTAATAGACACTACTAATCAAACAGTTTGATTTTGAAATTATTGGATGAGATTCAATGGTCACCTACACAAGAATTGAGAAAAGGTGGTCATAACAATCCCACTTTGACTTTGCATGCTACTGCCTGTGAAGCAAAGGCATCTGAGGCCACTCCCCCTTGCAGTGGTTAAGACCTTAAGCATACTGGACAACCCTTGGCCTTGAGGTATGGTGCAGTCCCAAGCTTTCCTATCATCTTAAAAACTTGCTTATTATTACCTGTGGAAAATGTGACACTATTTATTGTCATCAATCAACTGCAGAAGATGAAAGGCTATTCTGCTTGCTTATGATCACTACTTTTACTCTTTAATCCCCTTTGTCTTGAATTTATTAAGAAAAAAAAAATAACTAGGAAGGATTTCTTCCCCCCATCTCATCTGTCTTTCTTATGGGGAAACCAAAATCTTTCTCCATGCAAAGAGAGACTCCCTCTTTTCAAAGCTTAGAAAGATATGGTATTGCAATGGGAACCTACTGGCCTGACGCAGCGGGCTCCCATGGATCTGTGTCGATGCTGTACCGCGGGCTGTACAGACTGCGGACGGCAGGGTCTGCGTGTTGATGTAGCACGGATCATCAAAAAGATCTGTTTTGTAGGCAGGCTTCAGAAACGTTGCCTCTTTTTTTGTCTTCTGTGATCTTTCACCACAATTACCTGCAATTAGTATATAGTAAGCAGACTTTCCTTTTTTTTTTTTTTTTAAACTCAAGTTAAAATAACTGTAAAAGCTGAAATAGGAACATTATTGTTCTTTTATGTCCCACTAAAGTAATTCAAAAGGAAAAGAATAATTGGCAGAGTAACTCATTTTTTCCTTATGGCTAGGAGGCACAAGGTGCAAAGTGAGTTAGAATGAAGTTTTAAAAAGCGTTCTGTACTGGTTCAGTTCTGCTTCAATCCATGTGAGCAGTAAACCCCCCACTGACTGAAAAGAAATTAATACCTATCACTCTACAGAGACACAAGCCATATAGGTTGTTTGTTGCAAACCCCTTTCCTTCCCCTCTTCACCACAAAAAAAGCTTGTGGGAAGCTGAACGATTCTCTCTTGCTATTCTGGTGGAGTGGGGAAGATGGGGGAGGTTGGCGCTTTGTGGCTCTGCCTGAAGAGCCAAAGCCACATCTGTCAGGTCAGGATCCACGCCTAGGAACAGACTAACAGAACATCCCCTGCAGGGCACGAAAATAATAGCACTTCAGCAAGCCAAATAGCGCGCATATTTTTGCTATTTAGCAAACGTTTTATTCATAGATCTATCCATTCATTCTTTTATTTGTTCCCTCTCTCTCATAGAAACCATTTGATTCTTCTTTCTTTAAATCAGAAATAACACAAGAAACGGAACTATCCCCCGCAGACAGGGTAACGGATTGCTTTAGAGCGGTGCAGGTGGGAATTCGAAAAGAACCTCATTGTGCAGTGAGAGAGATGAGCTGAGGGAAAGTGCTCAGGGCATCAGCTGTGGCAAGGGAAGTCCAGAACGGATGGGGGCTGGTGATCGCCTGGGGTCCCAGAGAGCAGGTTTTGCAAAAAGCAAATTGATCTGGGCACAAAGCTGTCAAGGCTGGGGCACAGTCACACGGAGGCCAGTGACACTGGAACCGGGGGCACAGGCTCCACTGGAACAACCACCCGATACTGAGAGTGTGGGTCTCAGTGAGCATTTGTAGGGGAAGGGGTATTTTCAGAGACTGATAAGCAACAAAGTGTCTTCCTTTTCAAAGGGTACGAAAGGGAATAAACAGCAGAGTATGAAAGAGAATGAAACAACAAAGAGCTACTGTACAGTATCACAACAAGTAAGACAAGTAAGTCTGCCAGCAGACATGAAGACAGATTTAGTGGCCTTTAGAAAAGCTGTAAGGCCTTTTTGTCTGCTCTTCATCCAGGGAACCAGAAATAACCCACTAAGTAGAACACTTTTCACCATTGTATGGAAATCCAACAGGCAGCTCTTCCAGGCAGTCTGCCTTGGCTAATTCTACACATGCACGAGAAGGAAAACAGAGTACATACCCACAGTTTTGTTTTCTTCTGGGCAGTTTTCATATATATTGATGAATGTAGGGCTGCCTGTCTGTAGAAAAATTGTCAAAATAGTCACATAAAATAGTCCTTAGAAACCTCAGGTAACTTTAAAACATCCATGCACCAGTTAATTGGGATTACAGGTAACTCAACATATCTTCTTCACCAAAAAATTCCTATCTCCTCAAATAATATTTCATGCTGACACTCTTCTTTCTACGGGGCACCACGTCCAGACATAGTCCAGTCCCCACAGAGACCATTAACTGCCCAGTTTCATATCTAAGGTTCAGTATATATGGCATAACTCCTAGGCCGTAAAGTTCAGATTTTGTTATAAATGTTCCTTGCAATAGAAACAAGGAGAAATAACTACAGACATCCCAGTGTGAAGGTGAAACAGTCACCACGTTGTCTGAGCAGCACTAGAAGGTCATCAGAACTGAAAGGAAATAACAAGAAGTAACAAACACCCCATGGAAAAAAGGCATTTGCATTGACATGTTGCCGGGTAACTTGGCAACAATTCTGGAGAGCTTTGAATACAAACTCACAATATAGTCAAACAACTTTTTAAAGAACTGTTGGGGAGGCGGAGACATCTTGGAGCAGTAGCACAGGAGCGCCCTGGAACCTGGGAGCAGTTGCCACCCGACACAGACAGCACTTGGGAGCAGCAACATTTTAGGCAGCACCAGCTGGACTCCAGCGGGCACACCAGAGTGCGCCTGCTTCCCGGGGCAGGGAAACACCGGCGTTTCCAGGACCTACCATGGCAGGCTCTGAAGGCTGTGCAGCCAGGCTGAATTCGGCTGGTTTTGCTCCCTGACTGCTTGGGTTTTATTGCCCACTGTCCCGGACAAGAGCCACAGATACACGCATCTTTCGCTGCTGTGGTTGATTTAACAGAGCCTCTAGAAACACTCCAAGGGTAATTAATGTTGTATATACATTGCAATCAGTTAATGTTGTATGTATAGGTTGTAGAGCATAATGGACAGGATGAAATATTTATCAGATCACAGAATCAGAAGCCAGGAGGTCCCAGATTTTGCAGATGTTTTCTCAGACAAGCCATTTAAATCTGTATCTATTTTCTTCTCACAGCTAATGAGTGAACAAGGGAATATTACTTGCTCTCCTAAAAGTACTCTAAGGACAAAGCAGTTAATATTCAGAAAGTGCTTTGGGATTCAATTATGTACTAAGCATCATTAAATCTAGCCTAAAAAACCCTTTCCCAAGATAACCAGGACCTGGTTCTGATGTTAATGCCATGATTTACACCACAGTAACACTTTATTATTCATTCCCACAATAAGAAGCGAATAGTTATTGCAGAAGATGATGTACTTACCAAGCAATACTGCTTTTTGCTCTGTGTCACACAGTTAGCCCTTTGGTCTGTTTGCACCTTCATTCTCATGTCTAACACACCGCCGGTGGGAGGCTCTTTC